AGCCAAATGATTATCAAAAATATTAACTTATACAATAATAATATAAAAATTTACATAAAGTAAAACCGAAGTCATATATATTGCGTCAATAAATAGAATCACATCGCTCATTAGATTGTCAAATTGTTGTCATTCAAAAGAAACACGAAAAACGAAAAATTAGAAAATTATTAAAATTATTTATCTGAATTTTAATTTTATTAACTTTTATTTGTTTTGTTACATTTACACGAAAATAAAGAGTTTTCTTTGCATCCGAACAGCTGTAGATGTAGGCTCTGATGGGCTTTTTTATATTTTTCATTGAAAAAGAAAGCTTTGCTAAAAACGAAAAGAAAGAATTAAACGTCATAAAAATTATAAAATTATTGTATTTTAAATAACATTACTTATTTTTAAAAAATATACAGCATCTGTTCTGAAAAAATTTAATTAAAAACAAAAAAAAATATCATAAAAATTATATATATTTGACGAAAAATTAATTAATTAAAAAAGTATTATCTTTAAAAAAAAAATATCCTATCTCGATAGTTATGTGACTGTTAAGATCAATTCAGCCAAGAGTGCGTTAACATTTAATATCAATATAAGTGAGAAATAATCCAAATTCTAACAGACATTCATTAGACAATCAGCCTGCGTCAAGATATATTTATAAAATAAAGATGATGAATTAAACTATTATATTTAAAGGGAAAATGAATTATTTATTAAGAAAGCATGATATTATATTATTATAGAAAAACAATTGATTAAAAACAAGAAATATAATGAAAATAACAAACGCCAAATTATGGATTTTTATATATTAATAAGAAATAAATGTGAATTAGTCTATTTGTAAAACTTTATTTTGTTTATTCTTGTTATTCCGTCAAAGACAACAATTACGTAGTTGCTTTTTGTACCAAGGATCCGGATTCAGAATACATATATATATATGCATTAGATTGTATTTGAGTGTTATCTCTTGAAAGAGACAATCACAATCGCAAATCAGAAAATTACCGAGAATATCTTTGTCATAAAAGTTCCTTTCAATTGAATCATTTGAAACTGACACTAAAAACTTGATTTTCCATATATGAGTAGATATATGAAGAGGTTACTACTGACACAAGAGACAATGGACTTGAGAAGGAAACATTTATTTGTAGATAAATTCGATAAATAATAATTACAATAATATTACTATCTTATTACAGCGATTTATACATTTAGCTAATTTACATGGATTTAATTTTCAACGAGTTGTAAAATGACAAAAACACTATACATTCATCACATTACTTTTTCGCTTGTTTTCAAGAAAAATAATATTCCTGCCGAGTAGGCATTATTATGTATATTTTAATTGTAGATTAAACTATATCACACACAAGAATCTTTGTCATATAATTACTATAAGGTCCAGTTTCACAACTCACGATTAACTCTTAACCGAAGTTTAACTTATTCATTATCTCTTTACAATTCTAGAATTGGAAAGAGATGAGAAACAAGTTGAATCTCAGTTAAGAATTACCTGTGAATTGTGAAACTGGGCCTAAAAGTTCAACAAATGATCTTAACTTCGAAAAGGCACGAGTGTTTTTTGTCTTTATCAGCAAAAATCGGAATTTTCCCGACAAACTTTGAGTTCTTTCATAAATACAATTACATCCTGCAACGGTACACTCGCAGCAATTATGAAAAAAAGAGATTTAATAAACAATTAAAAAAATTTTTTGAATCTTTAATCTTGAAATTTTAGATTCAAAAAGAGAGCTTTAAATTTTTTGCAGATATTAATTTGAAAATCAGTTATTGCAATTGTATGTATATGCAGTAAGTTTCCGTTATTTTTTAACATAAGTTTTTTAATTTATTTATTTCTTACTTATTTTTCTAAAAGTAGATGAGACATACTGAAAGGATCAGCAATTATCACGTAAAATGTGTAAATTAAACATACTTTTTATACGAGGAGGATAGTAACTTTCTGTCACATCCTCTCACAGTTCTAACGAGAGGATTGTCAAAATTGTAATTTATCGCAAAATAGTTTATCGTAAATAAACGATTAAAACTTAGGATAGGTCAATAAAGTAAATCGTCTTACAAATTCCGCACGGAAAAGGACTCGGAAAGAGAAATTGCAAAATCACGCGATAAACTCTATAGAATATATGTACAAAATACTATTTCCTTATATTTATTGTCAATAGACACTAGACTACGAAAAATAAATCGCGAGCTGTATTGTTACTCGCGAGCATTTGGCAAGAACAGCTGCAGAGTAGCGACAGTTTTTTTGTTTTCGATGTATTACTTTGACAAAAATAGGTCCTCTCAATTCGTCATATTCATAATTATACATTATCTGAAGACATCGCTGTAACAGGCATTGACCGTAGATTGGGAAATTACACTAATTCGCCAATAGCTTTATGGAAGATAAAATAGGAGATGATACACAACATAAAATAGAATGTAAATATCATTGAAAATAGAAAAAAATATGTTTAACATTTATATTTACGATGTCATAATCATAAAATTTCATATTTACATCTACAAATTCCATAAATATATCACGAAATTCTAAAATTATTTTTAAATTCACGTCCAAAATTACAAAATAAAACTATAAGGAACAATTGTTATTCCATTCCACTATTGGTATAAAACGTATAACTTTTCATCAAAACCTTCCTCTCCAAATTGTTATAAACCCAGTCTACGGAACTCTCGTCGGACAAAACGCAATTAAATTATAATTGTGCGTATTTCGAATCAATTAATTTTGACACTTTCATTGGTTTATACATAATTGTTTTGCATACGAATTTGAATTGTTTATCTTTTTGAGCTCCATTTTTTCGGGCATTCATCAATCACGCGCGCGCGCGCGCCGATGACACA